GAAAGAGTTGTAGGGGTGAAGTTGCAAAACACGAAAAGGCGAATAAATTTAAAAACACACAGGTTTCAACCTGTCCCTAAAGGAACGTAATTGCATGATCTTTTTTGGTTATTAAAATACATTGCATAATTTTGTTTATTGCCCGAGTACATTTGTCGGTCGTAGACAGGCCCCATCACTTGTGGACAACCTTTGATGCTCTTATGTTCACGTACTTACTCACTGATTTATCATCGTCTTCGTGTCCTGAAGGACACTTGAGGCCACGATAATTTTCAATATCCTTTAATCTATAGCACTCCATTTTCCCTAACAGGGTGGGTATTTCGTTTCTTATGGCACAAAAGTCAAGGTCAAGATTTCAGAATCTAATCGGTTCTCCAATAAGATGACAAAAGAGGATCAAAAGCCGCACCCAATCGGAATACGAGGACCTCTTGATTTATTGCTGCTAGTATTTTTTTCCCTGTCTGAAAAGGAAAATGAAGTACATATTAATCGTAATATAATCGTGAAACAGTTACTTTTACTAACTGTTATTATCTAGAGCAGGTACATATTTAAAGAAAGCGCAAAATTTTGCTGTCGCAAACAATTTCGGACAATTTCTAAAGATTATCCAGGAATCGCGAGATAACACGAAAGTGTTCAATGGCTTGCAAAATGGCGGCCATTGGAATGATAACAAAAATGTAAACGAAGGGTAATTGACAAGTACTCTGTTCAATAAAATTGAACATAACTGTGATTAAGCTGTTTTTTGACCTCCGTCTTCATAGGGGGTGAAAAAGCCCACAGAGAGTTGATACCTATGCAATGAACCTAATGTGGGTATCATCTCATTAATATTCGTCGTTAAACTTAGTCATATTCAAGAAAAAAAAAGAGCATTCTCTTTTCATGCACGCAATCGACCGCTAGGGACGTAAAATACCTCCAACCAACACACCTCTGAGCTAAGAGTGCAACGCGTTTTCACGAAGGAGCGCCAAAGCGAATGAGAGTCTTGCATACTCACATGGGAAGAAATGGCCAAGGGATGGCAACTCGCTAAGATGAAAAAGAAAATTCGTGGAAACCGGGTGTTAAATAACAGAGGAAAAACACAATAAACGACAGGTAAGAAATTTAAAGAGTAGTTCTCTTGACGCACAAACTATTACACACTAAGCTCTCGTGAAATCTATCACCAAATCTCCGTGGACCTAAGCAATTGTTATCACTGCTTTCACTCATGTTATACTTCTTGATGAAAAGAAGCACTTTGAAAGAATAATACCCGAGACCAAAACGAGCGACTGATGTGCCGCTCCAAATAACAGAAAAACGTAAAATTGGCACTGTTGAAATTCGGCAGCGTCAAAAAGAGGATGCAAGCGATTCAAATTTATCCTGGAATTTTAGTGAGTAAACAAGTCATACCTTCGAGAGATACGTTAAGCATCGCTTTTCCTCTTATTGTTAATTCCTTTTTTCGTCTTTGCCATCTTGATATGAACTTTTTAAGAAATGGGAAAATGCACGCACGGAATGCTTTCCAGCGGAAATTGTTGAAAAGAGTAGACCAACGGCTACTAAAGGATAAACACGTCGCACCACAAAAACAAAAGAGATTCGCCGATAGAGCCTTTCCTATCATGAATTAAAAACAGCATATATTAAGAGAAAGATGGTAATCAGTAGTCTCGAGCTTGAGAAAAAGAAAATGCGTGAGAGTTCTGGACAATATCTAAGAACCTCCGACTTTCGATTTCGCAGATTCTCCACTAGTTGAGCATAAGCGAGCTCAATATGGTATTCGTGGGCCACAAACCGCTGTAGTTTGATATAAGAAAGGTATCTTAAATATTGCTAAGATTAGCAATGTCTAAGGCGCATTTGAATTTACCCCAAGCCTGTTTAAATTTCGCTTTTTCAGGAACGAATTCCACGTGACAGCTGGAGTAAGGCATGCTAGTCGCTAACATGATGAGTCCCTGTATTGTTTCATTAAGTAACATAACGTATAGTAAATAGCATAGTTCGGCTTTATAAGTGACTCATAGTCTGATTAATGATGTCTAACAAATGGTTAAATATAATTCCAAGGTAAACAGCCTTGTTGATTCAGGCTTCCGAATGACTTTCCGAAATTTCGTGTTTGTTTATGTCATATCACTATCAAAATAAACTGCATTTTGGTAGTTTCGGCATGGCTTGCTATTTCAAAGATACGTAGAGTTACCTAAGTTACTGTGTAGAGACGTATATAGCTGAAAACAAAGAAAAAACCTTGTAGTATCAAGCGCCTCTGTATTCAGATGTTTTCTATAATTAGTGTATCTAGAGGTACGTAACCACGTGGAGTCTTATTTTCACACCTTGCCTACTGGTTATTTCAAAGAGCTAGGCTCGAAAGTGGGATTACTGCAGGAGTTTCACTGCAGAAGTGGTAGATTTTTCTCAATTTTTAAAAAAGTTAGGATGGAACTTCTCTTTTGAAACACAGCGAAGGAAGAGCAACTTATTGAGTAAGACATTTTCTCAAAATGGTCACTTAACATGTTAGATTTTATTTCATTACGTAGGATATGCACCATCTCAATATTTGAGCAACACTTCTTAGAACGGTTACATTTGAGTAACTTAAAACAAATTTTGATCGTGCAAAGGTAATTTTGTGGTCGAGGAAATAATGATGAGCGGAAGTTCAGGCTTCCTTCTCTAAAACGGCTACAAAGGAAAAATCCGGACTAAAACTGCCATTCAAGAAAGTTTTAAGCAAGATCTTTATATTTCTTAAGAAATTTTGAGGTAAAGGCGAACAATATTGCCCTATTTCACATGTATGCAACAAAACAGAACAAAAATGCAAAAAAAGTGAGAGTGTTTAGCTTGCGTGTTGGTTAATCTTACGTGAAGATTCTCAGCCTTTAAAGGACTTATCCTGCTCACGTTTGTCAGTTTATGTTCCCCAGGTTAAGCACACGCTATCCTTACTTGCTGCTGAAGTCTGCGGTCAGCGATTATTACATTCCAGCCGGAAGTCGTGTCGACATCTTTGAACTCTCTAAACCAATTTTGAGAATGTTTACCAAAACTATTGGAGAAATGAAACATACCAGAACAATGACACAACACAATAGAACATTGAGACAGAAATTCAGGCACGCAGCCCCGGGTATTTCCTCTAGGACACGACCGTATTTCATTGCAAAGGTACCGCAATTCAGGCGCACTCGTTTTATCTGTCAACAGGCCTTCCATATCGTCCACAGGAATACTAAGAGGTTCCTCTTTGAATGACAATGTGCTCTGTTTGCGCTTTACCATTGGTTGTTACTAGTCTCGATTCCAGGGTTTGATAGGCGCATCATCAACGGGTCGGCGGGGGTATAAAACAACGTATTTCCCTGTCAGAAGCTCATTTGTATCCATTTGTAGTAATTTATCTCGCGGGTGTTAACTTTAAAGTTGCCACCAGAGACCATCGGATCGGTGTTAATCGTACAAGTATTCTTAAACGAGCCTCTAAGAAGACCCGTGGACATAACAACCCCTCAAGGAAAACCACGAATATTTTTAGAATAAGGTAAGTTGCGCATACTTCATTTCGTGGTCACACGCATAGTTGAGTTTGGATGTGCAACATTGTAACATGTATGGTGCAAGCCGATCTGATCAAAATTAACGCAAATAAAACCATTTGTTTGCCACCTGTAGGTTGACTGGTATTCCAACGACAACATGCAAATACGGTTTATCTTCGTGTTTTTACTGTTGCTGGAATTAACCAATAGTGTCTTATGTGCGAAAAAGCCCTCAGGGACAAGACGGAATCGCAACCCATTTAACTCGGTAAGACATTTTCGTTTTTGTTATTTTTTACTTCGGCCTGATGCGAGTCTCTGTTTAGTTTCGCCTAATGCGTGTTAACCAACAGTAAAATCGACTAATCGACATGATCAAACTTAAAAATTGGAAGAAATAAACTTGACATGAATTCTAAACAAACAATGACAAACACGATGAAATCATCTTGACCCCCTGTTACCACAAATAAATTTCGTACTTAACGTGTCCAAGTGACATAAGCCATATTTTCGTACCTCGACACTTTCAGACTTTTTCAGACGTACGTGAAAAATTGTTCCACTGGAAAAACGTACAAGTTGCGGTCGGAAATAAAACGGTTAACAAACAAATAGTTGTTCAGTCAATCGAGGAGCTTTTAAGAGCAAACACTGCGGTAAAAGAAAGACTGGTTTTCATCAATGTTAGTTGATGAAGCAATATTCTTTGCCTGAAGAACACAACTTAAGACAATAAGACAAATTGCATTTGTGTTGACGTTCCTTCGCGCAGATGAAGTTCCTGCTATTCCCCCATATGCGAAATTGCAAACAAAGGTTATCACCTATTTTGGTGCAAAATCTTTGGAGCAGGACAGAAGTGCGCTCATCAAAGCAATCATTTGACGCATCGGCATTTCATAAAAACCATGTGTCGATCGATAGCTGGGCTCCTCCCCACCAATTACAAATGTAGTCACCGACCTCATAGAAGTCGTAATTATAATTTGTTGGGCGGGGTTTGAACAAAACAGATGCTGTTTTAACTAAACAAATAACATTTTTAAGGTCCACAATGCTTTCATATTTGTATAACAAATTCTGCGGCTCCTTCCAGCAACATTATTGACAATGAATGAAAGTAGCATACGGGTTGTGCCTCAAGAAACCGCCCTCCATTAAATTAACTCACAGATGTGCACCAGAGGGCACGTAGCAGATTTAAACGCCAGAGGAATCCCGCCGTTTCAATTTCAATTCCAAATCACTCATTTTTTTGGCGACCTCTCGTATTAATTAATGCTTAAATCCTCCAGAGAAATCGAGGGTATCAATGCGACCTTCACCTTAAAGGGAAATACCAATATTATATTTCTCCATTTTCCGACCTCCCGTGCCTTACCCAATTACCCATAAATTTAGCGCCTCGTTGCATTTGAGACCAGTCTCTTTTGCATCGCGTTTGTGAAGAGCTCTCTGCGGAAACATGTTGAATCTTAAATCTCCAGGCGCTGTTCACTATGCGGTCATTGTTATGGCGACTTTTCTGTTTAGTATCCCATTCGAGATCGTTTCACCAACTGCGAGTTCGCCAAGACCCTCGATAGCACAAACCTCTACGAATAGTGGTGGGAAAACCAAAGGGGTATCTGCCAGCCTCAGGAATTCAAACGTAAGATATTTTCTATGTATGTTGTATTCTCAGAGGTTTATTTTGCGGGAGTTCTTTGCCTGGGCCCAGCAGATGGAGAGCAGTTGTGTTGCGTTTCTCCACGCCCTCTTACTGTTCACCATCTTTTACCAAGCGGCTTCGGTTCGAACAAAAAATCGACCAATTTTTCTGTTCAAAGGTTTCCCCACGGAGTGTCCGTGGACAGCGCTTGGAAGATAAAACATAGACGCGACAAGAGCGGGTGACAGAACGTTGCGTAGACGTTCTCGAACATTTTGCATATTTTTGCGATTGATGCACATCTCTGTTTTTCGGAAACGATAGGAAAGTGCAGAGACTTAATGCTTTCATTGTTTTGAATCAATTTGGAAAATTAAAAGAAAAACGAGTCGGCTTCCAAAATGAAGTCACTTATGTTACCAGAGGTTGTTGGCGTCGAATGATTTTGGTTCTTCGCCTCGTGATTGCTCTGCTGCTTGCTCTTCGTGAATATGGGTTTTTTTTTAAACAGTTAGTGTACAACCTTTTATAAATCTATTTCTTTCAACTTTTCTGAAGCTTGCAGACGAAAACGGTTCAGTTTTTTGCAAAGAATCATCGACTTGGGTATGTAGGTAAGGATCTTGGGAGGGAGTTCAACACTCAAGATATAAATAACCTCTTCCGCCGGTCTCAGTGCCAAAAACACAAACAAGTCAGAATTTAATCCCTTAGAGATGCTCTCTGTTAAAAAAAAAAAAAAAAAAAAAAATTTACTAAAAATTAAAATAAAGAAAATCACATTTCCAATTAGGATATGCACGCGAATGGTTAGAACATGCAATTGACTTGTAAGGTCGTTGATTGATAAAGTAGGACCAATTGGCTTGTTTACTCAAGCTGTTGACACTTAAAGATTTCACATCTTTGAAGGTTATCACTTGTTGTGGGTTGCCAATTAACTGTAATTATAAATTCAGGGCTGATAATCAAATGTAGTTTAAAGAACATAACCCCGCCGGGTGGGTTAATGCCCGTCTGAAAATTTAATTGAAAGAATTAATGCAATTACCTCATCTAATTAGTTGTTACAAAGTACAATCACAAGGGTTAGAGTGCAATTATATATTCTGGCAACTAAAGTTCTGTAAAATAACATTTTTTGTGGGTGTTTCTGGCATAAATTCCAAGAGTAGTTTCTTAATCAGTCGAAAAAACAGGAAAAGGAAGAATGCTTCCGATAGCCTTTCAAATGCCCAACTATCGAAAAAGAAAATTTTACAATTGATTTTTCTAATTTTTTCCACTATCTTTTGTAAGTTACATCGACGTTCGCCACATACAGTGTTCACTAAAAACCAGCTAACCTCAGCTCTAAGAATGATGCAACAGAATGTTGCATGAGAACTATAATTAATCGTAATTAGTTTTTTGTTAACATGCATGTAGTTATGAGAGTCTTAAAAAAAAAAATGGCTTTTCATTGAGGCCAGAGTGGTCCATCGGACTGAGGCAATTATGAACTAGAAATTATAGTTTAATCGATTTATAACCAAAAATCCTCTGAACTCGGATGTAAACTGTGACAGGGGATCATAACAAACGGCGAAGGGATCTTGGTCTTGAATTCTATCGGTGGTTAACGATCAGAAAAAAGGAAGACATGTTTCGCCCGACTTCCAAATTGACTAGAATAGACTGAAAAGATTTGTCACTGGGGAAAATTTTCAGAAAGAACTTGAAGCATTGACGTTCCCATTTGAAAGAATGAACACCCGAACTTTAACTGAACACGTTGTTTTCAAAAACATGGTTATAAGTTTCGTGCGTGTTTCATTACAGCAATTTTCACGTACTCAAGTAGCGACAAATTTGTGGAGGCGACCATGGCTGGTTGCACCTCTTGGTCACCACATGTAAATTGTGGATTTAAAGTCAGCACGGATGATTTGTACTTGAGATGAAGCTTTCACAATACTATAGGCGCAGTAATACATCAATGAAATCTTCAGTTTTCATTTCCCCAAGGAAAATGGTCCACATCTTTCAACTACTCAACTCTGGCTTTCCTTACTGATGCGATATTGTAATTATAATTATATTATATGAAATAAATCCCTGGTCCAAGTCTAACCTCAATATCCTATTTAGAACAATATATTTCAATCTCTACATTTTTTGTAAGACCTCTGGTCTTATTTTAAATATAGGACTAAAATGTAAGTAGCAGACATTACTAACGTAATTTGTTAGTCATTTTGACCTTTATAAATCAGGTCTCGTCCATCAGCATATTGAGATACAAACAAAAGAACCAATGGGTGACCTATGCAAAGAGTTAAGGAAAGATTGAAACACGATAAAAATGGAATGGATGGAATGATGTATGACTGAATAAAATGTCAAAGATCATCTGAGTGAATGAATGAATGAATGAAAGAACGAATTAATTAATTAATGGGTGGATGGATGCAGAACATATAAGATAATGAGCGAACGAAGCAGAAAAACAAACAAACAATAACAATAAAAACTAACCGAAAAAGACGTACGCTGTTTTTCAATATTGGATCGTCAGGTGTTTTGTAAGCTACCGATAATAACTACTGGTGCTACTTTTTCCTCAAAGTTGCAGACAGCATCTGATAATGGCTCGGATCCAGTCAATCCGGCACAGAGTTGGAACTACTTCAAAAAACGTGGCAAAGGAAACAAAGGAAAGAAAGACAAGAATGCCAAGGACAATACCAAGGTAAGGAAGCTCTGTTATCATCTCACAATGGGTTTGATTTACTTCAAAATGTCTGATACTTTAAAACAGGTATCGTTTGTACTCAGAAGTCATGGCAATAGACCAATTTCATAAATGGCTGCCAGATTAATATTCTTTTCTTTAAATTTAAATTAGCCCTTCTGGCCTCGTTCTCCAGTACAAAATTCAAAAGAATACATTATCTCAAGCGAGGCCAGAAGGGCTAATTTAAATTTAAACAAAAGAATATTAATCCAGCAGCCATTTTTGAAAGTGGGCCATAGAGGATACCAAGCAATTACTGGTTTTCAAGAGTGACTTTGTTTTAAAATTTAGTCAGTTTCCTAAGGTCTTTTGGCCACATTTCCCAGCAGCACATCAATTGCTTACTATTTCAAATGTCTTCGTTTTGTTTTTGTTTGATTGTTTGCTTCTTTTTGTTACATGTTAGATTGTTTGTGACCCAGGTCCCCCTGGACCTCCAGGCCCACCCGGTCCAACTGGGCCGCCAGGAGCCCAAGTGACAGAGGCCACGATGATGGCGGAGTTTAGGAACATGGTGCAAGGTAAGTAGAGTCTGGATCACTCAAATTTGGATAAATCGAACTTTCTACTGTATCCAAAGGAATTTTACTTGAATATCTAAGTCATTTGATATCAGTTATCATGAACACCCCTTTTTGGCATGCGTAGCTGATGTGATTGATCGCACCACAATGTGGCCTATTAGGGCTGTGAGGTCAAAGGATGTTATGAGAAGAACTTCAAAGCACATGTAACTAACACATCAACAAAGCTCCATTTCAAACATAACACCCTTCCCATGGAGCTTCAAATATCAATATTTAAGCTTGTGTAACGTGTAATGTGTCTTATTACAACTATTTTTTGTGTAGAAAGCGCAAATCGACGATCAAGGCGAATTGCAGACCAGGTATGTAATAAGTTTCCTAATAGAAGAGAGCGTCAATGAAAATTCCCTTTGTTCAAAAATCACTTTAGAACTGCATGCTGATGCACCCAAAAGACCGCAAGTTTCAAGTATATTTGATAGTAAAGAAAGATGCTAGACACTTCTCATGGGGGTAGAACTAAAAATTTGAGTCACCAGCGAAGGTTGAACCCCACCTAATTACAGTTGTATGGTTAAGCAGTGGAACGCTCTAACCATCTAGTTAAGGCGAACTCGTTCAAGAACTGTGAAAAGGCCGTACAGAATGTTTATATACTGAGATAATAGCTCTGTCAACTAGAAAAGATAAACTTATAACTGGAACATTTTTTTTTTTTTTTGTGAGAAAAATCAGACGAGAGGACTATGAATTAGAGATAGTACCTAAAAGGAAAGGGTCTGTCAGCCTAAGAAATCTCGCTAATGACAACCAATGATTACAAAATAACCAAGCAAAGCTAACTAAATTACTACACGCTTCTCCCAACAGAATATCAGTCTGATGGCAGCGGGTATTCCAGATCTATTGTCTGCTCACCATATTGTCCTCAGATACGCAATTACCGTTCCAAAGAAGACACACCAGGAGGTGCAAAACTTCAAACTGCCAGTACGTTTTGTATGTCATATAAAAGTTCTACAATAACTTCTTGAGACTGTTTTTCCTTTAATTTTGTTCATTCAAACTCAAAGTCACTGTGGTAACGTAGGTGTTTTAGCGAAATGAATCCAAAACGCAATCAATACTTCAAACATTCTAATTATTTTAAATGGTGGCTCTAAAATTAAAACCATGTTATAAATAAATTGAATACCTTATGTTAGAAGCGTACATTACCTTCCATTTCAGTGGTAACTTACCAGTATTCATCTAACCATCTGGAAAAAATGCAGATTGTCTTCTAAGGAATTACGTCTCCCTAACTGTGACTTAATGTGGATCACAATGATTATGTTATTTTCAAACACTGATTTTTTTTTTCTTGCAATATCAAACAATTAGTGTTAGAAAATAATTAAACTATTTGAGCCACCTTGACTGACAGTTTGGTTACCTACATGTAAAAATCTGCTTACGGACACTTGTTATTGGCAGATAATAAGGCAGGGAAAAAATTGAAATTTTAATTCTTAAAATACATGTCCGCTCGTATTTTACCTTTACTTTCTTGGAACCAAATATGATTGATATTATTTTTCCTAGGGTGATCAAGCTGGCACTTTCGTGCGCGGAAGCGATATCAACGTGCGTTCTGGTCGATACGTCATACGGTATACAGGTGTATACCACCTTACGGCCACACTCCTAATCTCTCGCGACAGGGACACAAATTTGCGCCCAAGAGACTTCATCAAAATCAGCATATGTATTAACTCACTTTGCGAATTGAACACGTAAGTGGAAGCATATGGCACAATCTCTTCTTTAAATAAATTCTCTATTTTTTTGGTATTTGCTTATGTGCCTTAAAAAAAATTATTGGCCGTCTGTTTTATCCTTTGGCCGCCAAAAACATGACTTATGTAGCAATGAAGACGGCAAGTTCAACAGTCACGTAGGCCGTGGACGAGAGTACGATCCCCTAATCTTATAACTTAGACCCGCTTGCCTTAGCACCTTCTATTTAGACTGGTGTATATCAAAGAAAAACGTGTCCCCAGAGAACATTACAATCTTCATAAAGGAAACTCGTTGGATCCTCAGTAAAGCTAGTTTAAATAATTTCAATTCCAATTCCAGAGCTTTGACAACAATAGCAGGAATGGAAAGCAACAGTCTGAAGTTTTCAGTCACAGTTACTGGAATGCTTATGCTCAAGGTAACAAATTACTCATAACAGGCTTTAATCCTTTGAAGATATTACTTGAACTAGTTCTTGATAGCCCGTTGCTAAAAACAATATTAAAGTCACGACATGTACACATACAATGGTCAACCTCGATTAAAGGAAGTAATGAGGCTCCTTGCGAATCTATGAATTAAGTTGGCTAAATAACTAGAGTGACGCTTCTCAGATAACCCATAAACAGAAGAACTTGAACTGCTTTAGGACTGCTTTGCACCATGTTTCTGCCGGGAGCGGTCTATGGGCTCTCCGCCGTCACGCTGCTTCTCTTACGTCACTACAAAAGTTAAAGTTCATCTTCCTTCGTCTTAATCTTACGTCAATTAGTTACGTTAAGTTACGTCAATTAGTTACGTTAAGGTCGCTCTACCTAACATCTCCTCACATCAGTTTCATCATTAAGTTAAGAGGATATGACACTAAATAGAAAACCTAATCGGATAGAGGAAATTATGTAGTGGCGACAAAGACTGAAAGGGCGACGTCTTCATTTATTAACGAAAAAATGCTTACGATTGTTTTGCTCACCAGGCTGGAAATTACGTATCAGTTTACGTCGAGAACAACACTAACAAGCCACTTAACATTATGGAGGAGTCCTCTTTTTCCGGCCTCATGATTGGTCGATAGGATGATGTCAAAGGAGGGCGTTACAATGGTTAAGATAAACACAAAATTTAGCTTGACTTAATTTACGCTCCTCATGCATCAGTTTTGAAGGTTGCTTTAATATCTAGACATCAATTGTAGAGTAATCATATAGTTCTGGCTAGGAACTACAGGTTTTCCTTTACATAAACTGTGAACAAAGTGTAGAGCAATTGTCTGGGGTAATTTTGAAACATTTCAGTGCTCATATAACGTTGTAGATATACAGAGTTTAACCAGAGAATAGGTGCGTAAATATGCTAGCAAAGAATGCTATCACCTGGTCTAAAATGTTCCATGTATATTTGGTGTTTTTCTAATAAGATATGGAATTTTGTTTGGTTGCAGTCGCGTGTATCTAACTACGCCACAAAACAGTTAAGGACTTAAAGTATACCGTTGTGAAGCCTGAGTAAAAGTTCCACTGAAACATGCAGTGAAGCCTCGCTAAATCGAACTCAGTTCACATAAAATTAAAGCTTTGAAAATTATCTTCCTTTGAAGAGAATTTCCATCATTTACAACTCCCTGGAATCTGAAATGTCTTCCGTCTCCGTTAGCAACTCTAGAAAACAGGGCTAACAATACTTCCATGGGTTCTACATTGCAGGTCTTTGAGCCAAATTCTAGTGTAAATAGTTTTAACCTCCAAAGTCCCAGTAACTTAACAGGCCCGAAGCCATATTTTAGAATCAAAATTTAAAGAATAGAGAAGCAGGTTCTGGCTCCTTACTAATTCATTTTGTTTCTTTGGCTGATAGTTTTATTGCATACTTTCAAAACTTTTGAAACTCCCATCTTGAATGAAAACAAAACAGCTTTACTGGCCCGTTAAGTTACCGGGACCTTTGGGAAACGGTTCCCTGGCTGAGTGCCGTTTCTGGAACCAAAAGATGCGGTTCCCTTTTATTTTCTTTACTGATACCATGTTTACTTAGAAAGGCACCAGAATTATGCATTATCAAAATTTAATTATGGTAAATGATCAAAATGAATTGTTTATATCTTGCCAGTGGAAAAAGTCTAACATAAAAATATTGAAATTAATAAAACCGACTATGGTAATATTTTTTTTAGTCATAAAATGTTGGAGTACAGATTTGCATCAAATCCTATAACAGTAGACTTATAAACAGTAAACAGTTGTACGTAATAAAGGATTGAAATAATCACAATTTCAACTATTGTCATAATTGCAATAAAGACAGTTATTACTACTTATATTTACTCATGATGCGAATCAGTGTTTTTATTGCTTGTCGCAAGAAATGGCTTTGTTTGCACTTTGCGCGCTGTAAAATTAGAAAAAACGAACATTAGGCATCTGTGCTCTTTCAAAAATATCAGCAAAATATATTTACTTGCTTTTGAGTCAACAGTGTCGAAAACGTGTCGTTCGGCAGAGCAAAAGAAATAGTAACCAGACAAAACAGATGTTATGTCCATTGGTGGATGGCTCGGTCGTTTAATTATGAGGACATACGATGTTCAGCTGATATATCACTGGCGTCAGACGTCAACCAAACAGGACCATTTTTTATGACACTAACTGACCTACAGGAATTTTTTTTCAACACCCCCTCAAACATAGTCCCAGCTGTTATGACGTTCGAAGTTTATCACCTTTTCCACTCAAACTCGATGCTTTGTATTCGAAAAAAGGAGATAAATCCGACACCTCGGCGGGGTAGTTACATTTGGGAGATGACAAAACGCGGCGCCCTACTCCACTAAACTTTGACAATCTCTTTGAATTTACCAAGTGCAATTGAACCTGTGCCAACCAACCGTAAAAGTTCTAGTTAAGCCAGCAAAATTTAATCCATATAAATATTATTTTCCTATCTGAATGGTACGGGACTGGACTAAACTACCAGGATCTATTGTTGAGGCTGGGAGCCTGAGCCGTTTTAAGAGGGCGCTACAGCGCTTTCTGAATATCCATTAGCTGCTTGTCTTGTTTATCCATTGTTACTATAGAATGTCAGTTATCCAATTTATCTCTTGTAAATAGTTCTTGAATCCTTTTATATTGTATATAGCCGCTTTTTATCTTTTATTTAGGGAAACATCATAGGGTCAACCTACAGTTTTCCTTTTCAAGATGTTTTATAACTTTTGTTTCTTCATCTTGAATAAATACGTTGTGTTATGTTATTTAATTGTTACAGGCGGCCCAAGGGTAGTGTGTGTGATTTTGGGGTCTAAAGGTCAATTAAAGGGAATACCTAACATATTAAGATCTAATTTTAAGCGTTAGCGTGGGCCGTTAAAAAAGAGGGAAAATTATGAAAAAATAAAGAAATATTAAAAGGATAATCAAAGCGAGGAATGTAACGTGTGAAGTCTCCTTACCATTTTTCCGTAGCCGCTTTCTTTGTAACGCGTGTGGTCCTCCCAGTCAACTACATAGATAAAACGCAAGGTTTGTCACTTCAACCGGTTCCGAACACCAACCATCGTCACTCAAAGGCCGATAAATTTCACAAAAGTCGACCGATCTCCCTCAAATTTCCAGCCGCGAGAGCGCTTTGCTAATACCTACCGGTTCGAGCGGCAAAAGTTTCCAGATACTCTTGCATCGATCCGAGTGACGCTCCGTTTTACCAACATTTTTCTACCAGTTGACCAGTAGCACCACACGCATTACATTGAGTTACATCGGTTAGCTCTATCCATCGAGCTAACCGCCTCCTGGTTAGCTCAATGGATAGAGCGCTGGACTGTAGTGCGGGAGGTCGAGGGTTCGAGCCCCGGCCGAANTGAAAAACGATACTTTTTGGATTATTTTAAAAAAAAAAACAAATATATGTTAGCGTATAGAGTGGTGTGTTTTGGTGTAGTGTAATCTGATCAGTGCAATTTGGTGTATCTGTTAACATGGAGAGTTATGGAGACTAAGACTTCGGAACAAGTTGATGCCATCCATGACAATTTGGAATTACTAAAATCGCCGGAGGAAAGGCGGGATCACTCAATAAAAAGTTGTATTTGAACGCGATGACTTTATTTACAAGGATTTCTCTTGCTTACATCTAATAACAAGCCTTTCAAGTTTCTTTTGCCTCGGAACGATATATCAGAGAAGGCATTTTATAGACCTCAAGTTTTTTGACTGATTGAAACACAGGCAGCCCAAGCTCACTACTAGAAAAGCGGACGTGACTCTTAACGTGTTGCGCAACGTTTTATATTTATAAAGGTTTGTATGGGATGTTATCGGTTTGCCTTAAAAGAGAGAAAAAAATGTCTTGTTTTGAAATAAAATGGGCTTACCTTATTGCTTTGTTGTTTTCTTTGTTGATTCCGAGCGTCTCAGGCCATTTTGAAGCGTTTTCGGCGAGTTAGCGCTATGTTGGTGTTCAACTGCTAAAAGAAAGACAAGGCCGGAAACCTATTTTAGAAGTGTCCGTCGCCCGAAGCGAATAATTCCGCCAAAAAATTACCACCAGTCTCGATTCCTCCAGAAAATCAAAGCAGAGATGTTGCAGTCTTTCTTTTAGCAGTTGAACACCAAGTGACATAGCGCTTTGGTAGATTTTGCGTTGACTGTTACTCTACTGTATAAGAACGAGACAAGGGTGGAAAGCTCATTTTCGACCGCTCCGCTTTCGAAGCCGATTTTCAATGAAATGAAAGTTTAGTGATATATTACAATATTACGATATTACAAAAAATATGCACTGCCCGCAGTTAGCAAAGGCTAGTCGAGGCGGGCAGTGTTTAATACGTGTATTATAAAATAAGAAGATTTACAGAGCAAGAGATTAAAAATTCAAGACAAATTACAACTACATTAATACATTTAAGATACGGCAAGAAAACAGAACAAGCTGGGGTCTTATAGTTGTGCTCCTTTCCAAGCGATCGGCATCCGCGGCACAGATTTGGTGTGCCAGGGAACAACCGTCACGCTGTTTGCTCCACGCTGATAGGATGATGGTAAACAATGCCCTGTTTCAAATGCCTCATGTGAGAGGGGAGTCAGGGGCATATTCGCGCCGGCGATTCATCTAGATCTAGCCATTCGCTCCGACGAAGGGCTAACGCTCGAAACGTCAGCTTTTGTAATCGTTACGGTGGCCAATTTACCATTTCGACTTTGCTGATATATCCAAATTATTTCATCTACTGACTTGCCTGGTGTGCGGTTTATGGCGCATGACGAAAACCCTACACGACCTCAAACCTCTTTGTTCGCGTAACCCAATCAGCTTTGAGTTGACAAAACGCGAAAACCCCTGTGTTCCCGCCAGCGAAATCGTCTTGGTTTGTATCAGAAATATATATGTAGGCTATCGTTGCAAGAAATGCGTTCATTTTTTGGATGAATAATTGGAAAGAACAATCGAAGTTGAAAACATGGCAAGGCAAACAGAAGTTATGCGTTCTATCGTTACGTTTCAATATCGTTTAGTCTTGGAGAAAGTTAATTTACCCAGTGATGTTTTGTAACATTTAATTGTCGTTTTTCTTAAAGTAGAAAACATTGCCACTTCAACCCTTCCTTCTCTTTACCGTTCAGCTCAATCCGTTATTCGAAAATAATCACAAGTATCCTCTTAGAGCTCATTGGGTTACGCGAAAGAAGAGGTTTGAGGTCGTGTAGGGTTTCCGTCACGCGCCATAAACCTCACACCAGGCTAGTCAGTGGATGAATCGCCGGCGCGAATATGCCCCTGACTCCCCTCTCACATGAGGCATTTGAAACAGGGCATTGTTTACCATCATCCTATCAGTGTGGAGCAAACAGCGTGACGGTTGTTCTCTGGCACACCAAATCTGTGCCGCGGATGCCGATCGCTTGGAAAGCTGCATTTCTCGAAAGTTTTTTGGCGGTTAGCGCTTGGATTTTGAATGGATCTTCGATTGAATGACACGAGAAAAAGCATCAACCTTTTGGTTTATCAGGTGTTCGATTTGGAAGCCGGGCGATTCTAATTTCTGGGTGAAAATCGGCTTCGAAAGCGGAGCGGTCGAAAATGAGCTTTCCACCCTTGTCTCGTTCTTATACAGTAGAGTAACAGTCAACGCAAAATCTACCAAATCGCTCAAATTCGCCATAAAAACGACAATAAAAACGACAATACACAGCAAGTGAGGTAGGTTTACATTTATTTTGAGCCTTAACATAGACATTCCTCGGTATAAGTTTACGATATTACGACTCTTCAATACTCTCCCATACATTTCTTTATATTTCGAACAAACGACCAGACGCGCCGCTTGTGTGGGCCCCCTGTGTTTTAAATATGTTTGGTATCCCCTTTAATGACCTTTAGACCTAAAATCAAACACAGTACGCTTGTGGCGCCTGTGGATTTGTCCTTTCTAAAATTTTTTCACCTACCAAGTTTTGAGAACGGTACGTGTCATATCCGATACTTATCCCATCGTCTAAAGGAAAATCTAGATACACAATCGAAAGTAACATCGCACTTGCTAGGGCAACAAGGCCTCCCTCGATCTTCTGTAATGGGGGGCGGTTTTTTTTTTGTTCTCCAATAATAATTCGCACGAGCTACACCATATAGACTTTGAAGTGTCCTAAACGTCTTTCTTTTCAATAGAATTTGTACATTGACAGTTTTACCAATTGCAGTTTACTGAACTGTAGCTAACTGTAACAATTCCTTCCTTAAGTGAATCTACGTTATCAAGTGAGGTTGAAGACCTGACAAATTCAGTTTCAGGGAAAGTTCTGTCCGTCACAGTTTGTCAGGTCTGGTCCGGAAAGATTTATCTTCGCCTCTGATCTTCTTCAAAGCAACATGATGTCATGACACGAGACAGCATGACCTGTGATTGACCTGTTAAGAGTGATTGGCGTCTTTGATTAGCAGTGGAGATACACTTAAATTAACCTAACAAAACGTTGTTGTTCTGAGGCCCGTTTCTCGAAGATCTCGGTAACTTAACGGGCTTGTAAAGCCGTCCTAATTTTCATTCCAGATGAGGGTTTCAAATTAAGGATTTGAAAAAGATATTAAAAAAAATTATCCGCTAAAGAAATTAAACAAACCAGACTGTCTTATCTGGGAGATGTTAGAACAACTTTGATTTTAAGGGAAACAAGGTTTAAACTACTCATTTTATCGAGTAATGGTAATGACTGCAGTTTACTCGACGTACCTTAATAACAATTGCAGACAACCAGAAACCTGCACTTTGTCTTTGTTAGGACTAAATAAAGCCACCTTTAAATCATTTATTGATTATTCTTTGCCTATTGTCATAAAGCATGAGGTAATAAGGAGTAAAAAGTCAAATAAGTTGAAAAAAGCTGCGTCATTCGGATGAACTCGTCGACTAACATAGTGATCTTATGATCTCTACAAGCAACGGCTCAGACACCATTACCATTACATATCGTGTATGAATTCGGCTGCTGGTGAGTGATTGCAGTTTTATCGCACAAACATCTCATAAATTTGTTTGTGTTAATTCGTCTTGAGAACACAAGTTGTTGCATAACACCCTCCTCTTTCGGATATTGATAGTTTTAGCGTGATACTTTTTAAAATTATATTTTGATAATAGCCAAACATTTGTTTTTAAATTTTGAGAAATTACGTCGTTAGAAACTCCGAATTTTTTCGGAGACGAGGAAAATAATTTTAATTGTTTTTATGTTTGGTCTGTTACTCATAAACTTGTCTCAGTTCTTGAGAAAAAATAAACGATCTTTAAGGACTATTCGAGAAAGCGAAGTTCAGGGCGCTATCCTCTTGCTTTTCAAAACTATCTTTGAATTTGTAATTTCCTGTTTCTTTCTACTTTATTCGCTATACGGGTGATAACCTTTTACCATCCACCGGAAAATCGATTAAATGATTGAAAAGAGATTGCAAGTAGAATATTTCCTCTATTTCAGAACCAGGAAATTTTTTTTAAATCTATTTTTCTTTATGAGGCAGTTTTAAAGGCAAGGTTTGAAAAGTTACACTGTTGAAATAGAATCACGAGAAATTTGTTAAATAAACATGAAAATCTAACAACTATGATAAATAGAACATAATAAACGCGAATTACACTGTTACATCATCAGTTCGTAATTTCTTCAAAGTTGCTGATATGAAATCATCAATCGAATTTTGAACAGAACTCGTTTTAAAGTTTGTGCTTCAGAAGCAGTTTAAACGTCAGAAAATAATAAAAAAGGTTTTGTCAGAAAAACTACAAGCCCATGCTCAGAATTTGCCACGTAACACATCTATGTTGACACAGAAAACGTTCATAAGTTATGGTGTTGGAGCTATTTTTGTAACACTCAGTATCAAATTTGATTTTTCTTTATTCCTTTCTATTCTACACAACTTACTGCCCAAGGAACTAGCTCAGAATAGAGTGGGAATGCCGGTCATCAGTTTATAAAGGTGACATTTATTAAACTGTCAGTCTTAAAGCATCGTCATCATTTCTCACTTAGCTAGAGAATCACTTAAAGTTACCAGAAACAGTTCCTGCGTACTACTGAAGTAGGTATCTCCCAGATATTTACGCCTTAAAAAATCATTTTCTACCTTAAATTTATTGCTCTTACGGTCAAGATCGGGCAAAACAAAAATAAGATTGACAATATAAAAATTGTGATGAACTTAACTGGCAGAATTAGAATCATACTTGAAAAATATCCTAAGAGAAAATAGCCTTCGAAGAAGGTTACATAACAACAGAATTAACATAAAATTCGAAGAAAAGGCGTACCCAAGGTACCGCCCTCAAGAGAGCTAAATATGTGTTCCTAGAACAAGATATCTTATGAAAACTTCAGTGAGAATAACGGAGAATAAAATTTGTTTACCCTTAGGTAATCCTAAAAAACGAGGTGTTGAAGGTGTCAAATTAAAATTTAAGAAATATTTTCTTTATCGGGAATTTTATTACGTAGAATTTGATCTAAAAACGAAAATAGTCGAAAGTATAAGAAGTAGGAATTTCCAGGAAATCCTTTGCGAGACTGACTTTTACCAGAGCATTTTACTCTCTTCTTTATCAAACAGATCAACATAATTGAAATATAGCTTACTGCAAGATAACCGGAATATTCTACCACAAGTTCTAATGACCGTAAAAACTGAACATCTACTTTCGTGTCAAATTCACGACTACAATAAAAAAAAAAGGTGACAGAAATTCTACCTGTAAGATAAGACCGCCAAAAGGAATAGGAAATAATCAACTTTGCTTATTATAATTTTTGTACTGAATGGCTTATAGTAATATATTTTCCCAACACCAATATAAGGAAACCCTTACAATATTTTCAGATTACATATGGATCGATTTTTATCGTTTAACAATATAGCCGCATTAACACTAGCATGTACCCGTCAAGAAGCTCTCCCTCAAAAAGTTACTTTCCTTAAGCAGTGTATTGTGGAAAATTATGACAAGTTTTCCCTAACAAGTCTACTTCCCCAAGAACTGACTTGAATTGGTAGTTGATAGCTTTGAAAATGAAGACCTGACAAAGACGTAATTTGTTAATTGTAGACACTTGCCAACAAAGTTTTGTAATGAGATTTACAAATACTTAATCTTTATAAAGTACTCCCCGATAAGTGCAGCTGTCTAAAGCTTTTTGGAGGTTTCATTAAAAACTTATGTTGGAATCTAAATTGCAAAATAGCCTACAAACTTTGGATCTGTCTGGTGGATTGAATAACCTTTTCTCAAAGTCCTTTACTCGCAATCAATTCAGCTCTTCAAGCTTCGTTTGATTTATTTGAAGTCGGTAGTTGATCGTTACTTTCCATTTTATGGAATAATAGCGATTGAAAACAAAAAATTTCAGTCAAGTATCCAGTAATCAAAGTAAGACGATCTTTGGCTGATATGAAAAATTTCAAGTGCATTCCGAAAATCGAAAGTGGAATTCTTATTCTAATGGCATGGTTTGAGGATGGGCGACATAATGAAAAAATATCGCAAAAAATAATTTAAAAAAATACATCCGTAAAAATAATAGTAAAAATCCAACAATTGGCTAACACCCCACAGAAGTAAGGAATGTGTCATAGGATAGTTGAGAAGTGTGTTAAGTACACAAAAAGTAAGGTAGGTGCGATTTTTGTTATGAAAATGGCTCAACGAAATCGATAGCAAACATCTACCTCAGCTAGTGGGGCATTACCCATTTTTAGTGCCATATTGGAACTGTCGCAACATTTGCTTTTCAGATTACTGCAAATTTACCGGCGCAGCTATGTATTATGTTTCCATGGGCGGATCCAGGAATTTTTGATTGGGGGGGTCCAAACTTTGGTTCAGAAAGGAATGTTAGACCGAGGCAAATTACTTCTCCCCCACACCCCCTCCCACCAGTCGCGGTTGCACGTTATATTCCTTGGCCGCTTACAGTTTACTTGGATTCATTAAAAAAATAAGCCAGTTAAAAAGTGATATACGATCCTGTCGATATAAGAATTTCAGTCTCAAATTTGTAAGCGTAAGGTCTGATGGGGGGGTCCGGACCCCCCGACCCTCCCCCTGGATCCGCCACTGTTTTCCACTGAAATTCGATGGGACTTCCACTAACCCAGAGCACAGTAGCCGGCGACTTTAGCTAACGCTTCTTGGAATTTCCAACGTATCTTCTCTATTCTTTGTTTGTTTGCTTGCTTTTTTTTTTTTTGTCAAGGAAAAACCCAGATGGTGACCTTTGTACTTTTGTGGGGAATTTTATTGGTTCAAACTTCGACAGCTCAGAACGGAAACTCAAACCAGAATGAAATTAGCTTTGACGACTTCTGCAGGGACTTTAATGAACTTCGCACCAGTACCTCCATGAGTGCTGTCATCAGAGATCTCGACAGTGTACGAGAACAGCTAGTAGCAATGGGTGTTTTACCTGAAAGAGGTGCTGTCGATGCAGTCAAAAAAATATGTCTTGATAAGTCGAAGCAATTCAACCCAGAGTGTTTATACAGATTTCGTTTTTTGAAAACTGTGGATAGCTCCGATTTCAATCGCTTGCGTGACACTAACCTGCGCGGCTTGTATGTAGATCTGTGGCTTCTTCATCCAATGCTTAGAGGCTGTCTACCATCTCTTAACAAAGACGTGAAAAGCAACAACGTGAAGGGTAGGATGGCAGCCGGATTATTAGGAAACAATCCTGAACAATTTACTGATATTTTTGATGAAAGGAAAGGCAGGTTGCTCAGAGAGGAGATCAAAGTGGCGTGTGAAAAAAAGCAAGGTGATGTAACATTTTGCTCGTCTTTGCCTGAACTTGTTAAACTCGTAGATACCTTCCAAGAGGTGAAACGTAAAAGCAGAACAAGCGTGGAATGGAATGCATTTCTTTTGCAATTTGTGATGCTGAAGCATAATAGTCCAGATGAGTTTGAAACAGTATTCCCAGAAACAGTTACGGAACTAAACGACATCCTTGTCAAAAACTTAGAGCAAATCTTCAAATTCATTAGCAGCGGACAGATAACTGAGCTGAATGAGATGATGGCCTTCGTACCAGGGTTAGAAACAATTAAATCGGGTTGTGACACCTCGTGGGACCTTCCAAGTATCACGAAGAAGAGTGAATGCATGTTCTGGAAAGCGATCGTACAGGTAGACGTTTATCTGCAATCACTAAGGCCCCCTGCTAAAGGAAACGTTCAAAAATTACTTAACACTAACATAGATTATCCAACCTTCCTAAGTCTCACTGAAATGGACAGAATCCTCGAGATTGTTCAAAATCAGGAGACCGCTATGACTAAACTTGTTGAATGGTTAAATACTGAGTTGACCAAGACAATAAATGATAGATTCAAGGGTCTTCGCACCTATTTTCAAAAGGTGGAAACCTTCAACAAAGTGAAGGCTAAGGCTGATGTCGACTTCATCAATCAACGAGTTAGCAAGTACAACAGTGAAATTGTTTCCTTGAGCACACAGCTCGGCGATAAATTCAACGAAATCTTGAAATTAGCCATAGCGGCAGTTGCCCTGGAGATTGCTGAGGACACAATTCAGGTGGGACTGGCAGCAGCCGTTGTGATGAACCCCCTAGAAAAGCTTTTTGGAGGCTCGAGTTTGGGAGACTTTATGGACAGATCAGCGAAGTTGGGGAAGAGTTTAACAGAATCGGGTAAAGTAGCCCGTCTGGCGAAGTCGTTTAATACACTCAAGGATAACACAGTTAGTATTTCTAGCAGGTTTCAAAACAACACTGGTGTGCTCGAGCAAATAAGAGTCTTGATTACAGATGCTGGAAACGAAAAGTACAGTGCTGATTTTGAAACTCAGAAACAAAAATTTCTTGCAGACTACGCAGCTTACGACCCAAAAGTAGAGAAGCCGGAGTTAACTGGCATGACCTCAACCTGGGAAAATATCGTTGATGACGCTTGTGAAGTGATTTTGAGCAAAGAAACTCTTCTAGCCCAAACCATTGTTGCGAAAGTAAAAAGCTCTGGTTTGTGTTTTAAAACAAAGGTTCTTGCACAGGAAATGATCGCGACCTATGAAGAAGTGTACGACTTTCAGTTCGAGCTAATAGAGGCCATGGCAACGTATATGAGATCTGTGACGTCTCTAAACGCCGCGGCGAGTATTACGGCTGGCTATGAAGAAGGTTCTAATGAGAATGAACAGGGTGAAAGTGTTGTACAGAGCCTCAAAGTTCTTACAGTGGTCTCCTTTATCTCGTACAAAACCAATCTCTGGCAGATTATTGAATCGTACTGTGACATATTAGAATACAAAGGAGGTGGAGTTCGCCCTAGTGTGTGCCAAGGTATAAACACTAACATTGCAAATCTTGTTTCCCACGTATCTCAAACCTGCAGAGATGTAGAGGCCTACAAGAACGTTCCAATCACAAGTTCATCGGCAACCAATGGCCTGGATATTACTAATCTTTATGCAGGAAAACGTCTGACGTTTAAGATACCAAACGGGAGATGGTTGGTCGATAACCACTGGATAAACGAACGGGATGAAGGATCTGCCATCTTCATGAAGAAATTCGAAGTGTTTGTACCAACACAAAGTGTCACAGAACGCATGGTGCGAGTTGAAGCGCGAAGCTCAGGAAAGAACCAGCTTACACCACCGAATGGAAAAAATTACGTAATAGTTCCAGAGAAAAATTTCGTCTTTGAGTACTTGGAGGGAGCCGATGCTTGCAGAAAAGAAAGCGAAGCTTTGACAAACCCTTATGGGTCAGATAAACCCAAGCTGTGTCCACTGAATGTTGACGAAAACAATTGTCAAGAAATTTTGCAGAAGACGGCCTTGTTTCCATCGGTTTATTCCCAATGGCATATCAGTCTATCCGGCTATGAAACAGCAACCGTCCCTGATCCAACAACGGTCGTGAATCTAAAAGTTGGAGTTAAGCTTTGCATTTTACATCGATCAAGGATTTCCAAGAAGATGAAGGTTAAGAAGTTAAGAGACAAAGTAAGAAAGAAACTACGGCGTGCAAAGAAGGACTACTGATGGGCGGTCCTAGAAAGACGGAAGATACTGGTGCCTAGGCCATTTTACCGGAGGTTTCAAAGTCGACGCTTAATACCTTCCAGTGAAAAAAGATTCCAAAAATGAACCAATCAACTGACTTGATAATACATTGCAAGTAGAAAATTGAAACGCTTTAATGATTATAGATAATGGTGTTGCTTGCACGGTAAAATGAAAATGCAGATGATGACGATGTCAATAAAAACAACACAAGTATTGAACTTCCACAATTGCAATGATAACGAAGAAAATTAAATGAAGATTAAGAATGAGCCTCCATAACAATGTCACATGTTTGAATTCGCAGCCACCTAGACAAAATAATGGGACCGTTTTTTTCTCTTGTAGCCATTCAGTCTTTCGTTCACGGCTCTCATTTCATCCCTAGTTCTATCCACGGTGGGGAATCCTTCAGTCAATTTAGGAGAAATTCGCACATCGAAGCGAACAGCTTCAAAACAAAAAAACAAGGCTAGAGATGTCATAGCTAGAGATCGACAAGATTTCCGTATAACCTCATATTTCACTGTGCATACACTATCGATACAGTGACTTGGATAAAAGATAACAATTGCAAAATCAACATATATATTTCTTTTGGGAATACGGCTTTGCTTAAAATAGAGTTAGGTTGTTGGAACATTTTCCCACGAAGGCTGTTTAACTGACTTGAGCAAAAACGAATATAATTTTGCTGCAAGAGCTGCTGGATTCTGTTGCAAACGGAGTGTGAACAATGTTCTTAGATAACCGACAAAAGGTTAATTTAGAAGCTCTTTGTTTAATTTATGCAGCTACACTCTCTACTACTCAAAACTTTCAAACTTCTCCCTAGTTTAAATCAAGAATTTGAAAATTCGAGCAAACGAGAAGTTTGTTTTGCTTACGAAGTTATTTTAAAGGTGAACTCAGTCCACGTACCTTGTGCCTTGCAAGAATGTTACAGAGGCAATTAATCGGGAAATTAAGGTTCGTTGGTCAAGGGGAGATGACAAAACGCGGAGCCCTACTCCATGGAGTACCCTATGGAGTACTTAATTGGAGTACCCCTAAAACTCATATATTGGTCAAATAAAATACTTTATAAACATGGTAAATCGCATAGATTTACACATCTTAATACATTTTAAGCTTGCCAGCTCTCCGATTTGTCACAGTTCGATACAGTCCAGTTTTTTGGGGACCAGGCTGAGGCTCTCAGTCTTACTGGTTTCTTCATTTTGGTTTTACCGCTGTGTAATGAGTGCTTTTACCGGAAGACAAAAAACTCCATATGATGAACAAAACCCACTGTTTCGAGTTTTGCAAGAGGTAGAATATTTCAACTTACTGCATTTTCCAAATCAACCGCCCCAGTCAGATGTGTTTGCTTACCCATCGGTGTTTTTATTTTTTGCTGTTGTTTTCTTTACATACTCAATTTTATTACGCTACAAATAGATGGCTGAAGAGAAGGTAATTTTAAACACATGAACTACTTTTTTTTAAGTCCTAGCTTTTATCCTCATCGCTTCACACAATTAAGAAACCCATGGGGCCTTGTGTTGATAGGTTACACGCCACACCCCTTACAGACACCCTACATAATCAGGTATTTTGAAAGACGTAAAACCCGCTGCCGACTGAAGTACGTCCGTACTTTTGGCCTCTTGAAGGTAAGAAGATGAAGATGGTAATCGGTCCATTAAAGAAAATGTTCACAGATTACATTTAATTAAGCCTTTGGCTTGAAGTGGCCAGCAGTTTAATGTTAAATTCAAGATGGCGGTCAATAGGCCTTTTGCAGTTACCGATCACGTGCTTAGATACCGCATAGCAACGCCATACTGGAGAGCAAGCACTCCAGTGATCTCAGACAAAATAGAGATCACAGAGGTCTGCATTCAAACAAAGAATACAGCGGATAACAAGTTAAAGGGTATCCCAATTCGAGAAATCTTGTAAGTTTTAATCAAGAGCTTCCTTGGAGTGTATCAGCGAAAAACGAATTTTGGTGTGATCTTGCTGCTGATACACTCCGGGAAAGCTGTTGATTACTTCTTACTGGATTTCTCGAATTGGGATAGCTTTTGCCGGACCTGTTATCCGCTTTATTCTTTGTTTGAATGCAGGCCTCTGTGACCTCTATACTGTCTGAGATCACTG